CTGTGGTCAGCAGAGGGCCTGTGGTCAGCAGAGGGTCTGTGGTCAGCAGAGGGTCTGTGGTCAGTAGAGGATCTGTGGACAGCAGAGGAGCGTGTGGACTGAGGAGGGCCTGTGATGAAAACCAAGGGTCTGTGGTCCGCAGAGTGACCCATGGTCAGCTCACCCAAGGGCTGAGCACCACCAGTGGAGGACTGCATTGCTGGTCAACTGGGTTTTAAGTCGCCGTGGACTAATGGTCAGCCAGTAGCCCCTCCTCCCCCGTCAGTTCAGTGGAAATAGTCTTCTGGCACCTTCGGGTTGAAGTGGGGGCGGGGCCTGCACCCTCCACCTCACGTTGCTCTATTGGAAGCAGGTGCTTCTCCTGCAGCCTGGGTTCAGGGATCAGATGCCTGGGGCTGGGGCTGGGGAGGGCCAGGTGGTGAGGCTGGCTCAGGGAGGGACGGGATGACAGCGGTGGGGTCAGGAGAGCGTCTCCTGTGATCAGCGCTAGAACAGATCTCAGGAAACCGGGTTCGTGCCCAGCTGGCCCTGGACTCCACCCTGGAGCCCACACTCGGGAAGCCCGTTCTCCTGGTGCTCCCTCAGCTGAAGCGTTGCCTTGAAGGACTCCCCAGGTACCAAGCGATGAGAAACAGCTGGAAGAGGAGTTTGACGAGGAGAAGTCCTCACCCCCAAGGGGGCTTCAGCAGGGGACACGGCCTGAGTGGGAGGCCCTGCTTCTGAGTGGGAGGCTGGCGGCTGTGGAGGGCGCTTCCTGAGGGTGCGCTGACTGACTCTGGGCACCCTCTTGTCAGGGCTGGTGTTGATGCCAATGCATGGATGTGGCTTCCTCAACTCCAACTGGACACCTCGGGAGCATGGGCTGTTTTTCCCGTTGTCACCAAGAAAACGCAAGACCAAGTCTCAGTGCCTCTGACACAGGCTGGCAGCTTTGGTCAGGTTTTTGAAACAGTGATCAAAACCCCGAATAATGTCACTGATATGTGTGTGGGGCAATGGTCTCTAAAATAGGTCAAATGATTGGTTCTTTCTGGAATTTGGATAATAAGGTACATATAGAGGGGATGCCACCGCGTCTGACTGCAGGCGGTGTCACAGGACAAACAGACCTGGCCTCAGCTGCACGTTCAGGAGGCAGCCAGCGGCCGGGCAGGCAGCACCATCGCAGGACGGACAGGTGGAGGCACCGTGACGTTTCCTGTGCAGCTGCCCAGCGGGTGCCGGGCACATGTGTCTCAGCATGAAGGGTACTCGTCCCCTGCAGTATACGGGGCATTGGTGCCAGGACCCCGGCATAGAACCTGCTCTGCACACGCGTCCCCAAATCAGCCCGAAGGAACCCGAATAGACAAAGTCCGCCCTCTGTACACACCGGTTTCAAGTTCCATGAATACCGTCTTTTCCATTTATGTCTGGTGGAAGAAGGTGCTGTAAGCCAGTCGACCCATATACCCAAATCCATGTCGTATACGGGTGCAGCGTGTCTCAACAGCTTCCTCAGTAAACTCCCAGCTTCTCTTCACATTTCCTGTTTTGCTTTTTCTGTAGGATACATGCGTGTCCGTGGAAATTTCTAAAGCTGGTTGGTCCCCACTTTTGTAACTGAGCTTACGAACGTCACACATAAAATCTGGCCCAGGAACTGAAGTATACAATGAGTTTTCAAGTCCTTTCTCGAGTGTGTTAGATTCAGAGGATAGCTGGGTCAAAGAAAACGGCATCCTTTCGGTGCTTGGATGTTTTCCTGATAGTTCCAGTGCTTTTTCTGAGCTCTAAGCTTGGGGTCTGTATAAATGAGGCAATTTATTCTTTTCTTCTCCTCCAACTCAAAGCTTATGTTAAATTAGGATAAGCTGTGAAGTCACCCCCTTCCCTTTCACTGACGAAAATAATAAATATCTGTACTCAAGGGGCCCCCAAATCAATGTCAAAGGACCGGCTCTACTTCAGTATCCTATTATTTTAAATTGGCACCCTTAGGCCCTCCACAACTTTGTCTTTCTTAAATAAAAATTTAGATAATGGAGAGTTGGTGCTATTGAAGGTAAGGAGTGTATCGGTCAGATTCCCAAAGAAGCAAAATTCCCAGGATATATGTATGTTAAGATGTCCCCTTTAAGGAGTTGGCTTCTGTGATTGTGGGGCCCATGGGCCTGAGAAGTGTGAGGCAGGCCAGCAGGCTAGAGGCCCAGGCAGGTTTCTATGTTGCGGTTTTGAGGTAGAATGCCTTCCTCTTAGGGAAGCCTCTGTCTAAGAGACCCTCAGCTGATGGAATGAGGCCCACCACACTGTGGACGGTCACCTGCTTTACTCTAAGTTGACTGATATAAACGTTAATCTCATCTAAATTACACCTCTCAGCAACATCTACACCAGGCTCCATCAAACAACTGGGCCCAGCGGCAGAGCCACGAACGCATGTGGCCTGTAACAGTGGCACAAGCCCAGGACTCTCTGAGAGCGTTTCCAGGGCAAAGGGGGTCCTTGTGATCCTCTGGAGAACTGCCTAGCATGTAAAAACAGCGTCGTGCTGCAGCGGCACACAGCAGCATGGCACCGCAGAGGACAGGCAGAGGCGCCAAGGCAGGGACCTTCTGCCTGACACTTGCCTCTGCTCCTGAAGCAAGAGCCCAACCCAGCAGGGATTTGCGTTTAGAGCAGGAGTGACTCCCTTTCATAGCACCATGACTTACCCTGCTAGCAGGCAGGGGAGGAAGAGCTCATGCCCTAGATGGTTACCCCAAATTTTAGTTGGTCACGTGATCTCTAGGAGCAAAGATCCAGTTCCCCAGACTCCCTTGCAGTTAAGCATGGTGACATGATGAGTCTGGCAGATGTGATGATGTGATGATGGAGATGGATGGGCAGGCAGGTAGGCCGATGGATGGGCAGTGGATGGGTAGATGAATGGATAGATGGATGGACAGATGGATGGGCAGACAGACAGACAGATGGGCAGATGGTGGGCAGTGGATGGATAGGTGAATGGTAGGTAGATGAATAGATGAATGAATGGATGGATGAACGGATGGGCAGATGGATGGGCAGACAGATGGACAGACAGATGGGTAGGTGCATGGGCAGTGAATGGGTAGGTGGATGGATAGGCAGATGGGTAAGTTAGATGGATAGATGGATGGGCAGATGAAGGGATAGGCGGATGGGTAAGTTAGATGGATAGATGGATGGGTGGGCAGATGGACAGTGGATGGATAGGTGAATGGTAGGTAGATAGATAGATGGATGGGCAGGTGGATGGATAGGCGGATGGGTAAGTTAGATGGATAGATGGATGGGCAGATGGAGGGATAGGTGAATGGGTAAGTTAGATGGATAGATGGATGGGCAGGTGGATGGATAGGCATATGGACCACTTGTTCAAAACAGCAGAGCTATGTGGAAGGCGCTGGCCCCTGGTGCCCATGGTGCTGCTGGCCAGGTGCAGAGCTGCCGAGCCCCAGACTTCATACCACAAGAGAGAGAGATCAGTGTCTACTTTGGGTGAGTTACTGGCATTTTGGGTTTTCTGTTACTGACAGTTGAATCCTAACTGATACACATCTGCATTTCCTGAGGAGATGGAATTGTTCAGGATTCAATTTGGATTGGAGACGAATCATGGCCCATCTGTGTGAGAAGAACCTGTTTTCAAACTTTACCCCCATGGGGAGACAAGATTCGCCTGTGGGGTGAGTGTTTCCACAGGGGTGTGGTCTCCTGTTCCAACCTTGTCCGTGGACCCCAGCCTGAGATCGCTGCATTAGAGATTATTGAGGCTATGAATTAGTTGCGTACAAAGTAACTACAGGAGCCCTTTAATGAGTGAGGGCTTCAGAGTGTCTTGTGCGAACCGTGAGTGGTTTCTCGCTGGTACGCTGTGTCTGCACCTGGCTCTGGAGAAATGATAAGTTTGAGCCGGAGATTTTCCAGCTACTGAACTTATTTTTAGAAAGGAAGATCCAAGTTCATGACTTTCTCTGTTTGCTTTCACAAGGACTGATACAGAAGGAAAACCTTTGGAACAGGAAAAGAAGAGCCTCTTTTGACAAAGCAAAGGAGGACCGAAGAGTTCCATGCTCGAGGGCTGCGTCTGGGGCTTTCTGGCATTAAAGGAGCTGATGGTGAATTTTCACTCAACAATCACCTGCCATGTGAAACTCAGTGGAGAGAAAGTCTCCCTGTTCCCACAGGGTCACATTGAAGCACAATTCAAATATCAACACAGCAAAATCATGAGATCCCACCTATTCTCAACAACGCTTATCCACAGAGTTGGCGGGTTTGGGCCAGAAACTGAGCTGGGTGCTGGGGACAGGTCTTGTCTGTGATCTGTGGAGCCTGCTGTTTAGTGGGGAAGTCACAGGTTAAGCAGCTCTCCAACTGCACAGGCGTTAACGGGGAAGGGGCAGCCATGCCGTGTCCATCTGAGCCTTCTGTGATCAAGGAAGGGTAAGGAGGAAATAAGATTTTGGCTGGGACCTGAGAATGACAAGAATCAGCTGGATCAAGAGGGTGTGCGGGGGAGGATGTCCCTGTGTAAGCTGCAGCAGAAGGAGCGCCCAAGAGATGGAAGCCGGGTCAGCTAAAGCAGAGAGCCAACGGTGACAAGGACTTGGTGAGCTGACTCACATCCACTCGGGTCACTGGGCCTGAGCCACCCCCAGGGACTGGGCTTTGTCAGGGACATCTCGGTGAGTTTTAAGTAGGGCCTGACCTGGTCTCTTTCCCATACCTGGCATCTCCCTCAGGAATCTGTGTGGCTGACGAATTGGAAATAAGACATCAGCAAGGGGAACCCTTGGGCCTGGTGAGAGTCTCCCAGAGAAGGGTCCATTGCATCCAGAGTGGGGCAGGTGCAGGTGGAGGAGACTGGAGGGCTCAGGTCAGCAGGGCCTGGGGGAGCGTCTGCATCTTATTAGAAAGGGCACAGCCGTCCCTCATCTCAGCTCCTGGTCTCAAAAGGAGACATTTTGAGAATTAATAAGTATGTCTTTAATTTCTCCGGAATTGGGCCTAATTTAAATGAGAAGTGTCCTGGTGAGAAAAGCAAGGGGCCTTGCCAGCTCTCAGGGCTTCCCCAGCATCTTCAGACCCAGATCATAAACAGCAGCCCCTCAGCGGGCAGCCTGCCCTTTCCTCCTGGAGAAATGGGAGCATGCAACGTGTCTGAGCTTGAAGTAGCAAGGGAGTCGGCCACTGTCACCCACGTTCCAACAGTCTCGAAGGTGGCCAGAGGAGGGGAGCCTCATGATGCAAAAGCAGAAGACACCAGGGGCACTCTATGGAGGCTGCTGGCGGGGAAGATGGAGGCCAGGAACTGGAATCAGGGCACCCTGTGGTGGGGGTACCCTGTGGTGGGGGGCACCCTGTGGTGGGGGGCACCCTGTGGTGGGGTGCACACTGTGGTGGGGGGC